GGTTGAACTCGGGATGATCCCCGTCCATGCTGTTGGTGCTGTCACCTGTCAACCTTTCAAGGCGCTGTCCATCCATCCATCCTCATCCTCCTCCTTATCCAAATTCTCACTCCACCTTCTTCTTCTGCTACCCCTGCTCCTACTATCACTCCTCACCCACCTCTAGCATCACTACCACCATCACCATCACCATCACCATCATCATCATCATCATCATCATCATCATCATCAGCAGCAGCAGCAGCAGCATCAGCATCAGCCTCATCATCCTCATCAGCATCATCATCATAATCATCATCATCATCATCATCATCATCAGCATCGTCATCATCATCATCATCATCATCATCATCATCATCATCATCATCATCATCATCATCATCGTCGGCATCATCAGCAGCATCCTCTCATCAGCATCATCATCACCAGCATCGTCGTCATCATCAGCATCATCAGCATCATCATCAGCATTGTAATCGTCACCAGCACCATCACCACCATCATCGCCATCATCAACATCACAGCCATCATCACCACCATCGCCATCATCATCAACATCATCATCAACAACATCAACATCAATATCATCATCACCATCATCAGAATAATCATCATCATCATCATCATCATCATCATCATCATCATCATCAGCATCATCATCATCATCATCATCATCATCATCAGCATCATCATCATCATCATCATCATCATCATCATCATCATCATCATCATCGGTGTAACCATCTTCATCATCACCACCACCAGCATCAGCAGCATCACCATTACCATCTCTCCATCACAATTTCCATCAGCACCATCATCAGCAGCATCGTCATCGTCAACGGCTTTATTACTGCCAGTATCGGTACAACCATCATCAGCAGCAACAGAAGCATCATCATCATCATCATCATCATCAGCATCATCATCCTAATCAGCATCAGCATCAGCATCACCTTCATCGTCATCCTTAACAGCAGCGTCATTATCATAGTCATCGGCCACATTATCGTGGCCATCATCATTATGGTCAGCAGCATCATCGTCCCCATCAAGATGATCGTCCTTACTATCCTGCGCATATTCATCATCGGCATCATCATCGTCACCATCGTCCTCGTCCTCCCTATCGACATCGACATCCTAAAAGTCAGCACCTCCTGATTCATCATCATGCTCATTTTCATAATCATCATCATGATCATCAGCAGCATCATCACCATCAGCATCCATACTCACCATCACCATCATCATCAGCAGCAGCATCATCGTCGTCACCAGCAGCAGCATCATCAGCAGCACCAGCAGCATCGTCAAACTCATCATCATCATCAGCATGATCATCATCATCAGCATCAGCAGAATCATCAGCATCATCAGAATCAGCAGCATCATGATCATCAGCATCAGCATCGCCATCATCGTCAGCATCATTATCATCATCATAATCATCATCATCATCATCATCATCATCATCATCATCAGCAGCAGCATCGGTATCATCATCAGCATCAGCATCGCCATCATCGTCAGCATCATCATCAGCAGCATCATCATCATCGGCATCATCATCACTCTTGTCGTCGTCCTTGCCGTCGTATTCATCATCACCATCACCCGCAAAAGCATCGTCATCGTCACAACCATCGGCATCGTCGATGTCATCGCCCCCGTCGTCGGCATCATCGGCATCATCTTCAACATCTTCATCATCAATATCATCATGAACATACTTCTCACCATCACCACCATGAACCATCACCATGGTCATCGTGCTTATCATCATCGTCGTCAGCAGCAGCATCCACCTCCAGCCCTCCCCCTGCACATAGGCCAAGTGGACCAGCTTGGGAAGCGAAAAAGCAGGACAAGACAGGGGCAGGTCGACGACCAGCAATTTGCACCTGCTCTGATCCAACACTGGTGGAAATCGCGGACCAGTCCACGGGCAGGCGCGCAGTGGTGCCAGGGGAGCATTCCTCGAAGATCTGGCCTGAAGGAAACTACCAAGCGATTCAACAAAGAACGCTCCCTCGCAGCCTGAAAAGCGCTCGAAGGGAGCAACCAACTCGTGTGATCATGGTTCTGCAGGGCATGGCTGGAGCAAACTGGAGCAAGACGAGGTGGGGACAGGCGAGCGAGTGGATCATGTGCACAGGCAAGACACGCACGCGCTTCACCCCCTCCCCTTCCCCCGCCAACCCCTTCTTTTGAATCTCCTCTCTACTCTGCTCCACTCTGCTCTACACTTCCTTCTCCTCTTACCTCCTACTCGCCACTCCATCTGCCTTGCAACCCAGTCCTTTCTCTGTTCGCCCGCCCCCCGCCGAGGCGACCCGTGCTCTCTCAGAGGCCTCCCGAACGGGGTCCGAGCAGATGGGGTCGGAGGATCGCGCCGCATAGCCAATGCATCGCCGGATGTATCGGCGATGCATCATCGGCGACGTCGGCGATGCATCGCCGCCGTTGGCGTTTCGAGAAAACCGAGCTCCACATCGAACCACATACCCGATGCATCAGCGATGCGGCGCAATCCTCCGACCCCATCTGCTGAAGGGGCCCCGGGACACACAAATAAATAGACACAAATAACCGGACTCCCCATACGTTCCAATATTTTCTGGATGTTTGTCTTCCCCCCCACTTCCCATATTATCCCATATTTTCCATGGAATCGACGATGAACTGTGTCTGTGTGTTTTTCCCCTCCCCATCGGCTCGGACCCCGCTCGGGAGGCCGGGATGGATCTCCGCTCCCGCTCCTCGCCCCTCCTCTCGGCACCGCCCGCGCCCGAGGCGGAGCCCAGAGCGATCCGGATGAGCTCACGGCATGGCCGACCTCCTGGGCCACCCGACTCCGATCCGCGCTCCCGTGGAACAAAAAGCATCAGCATCATCATCAGCAGCATCATCAGCATCGTCATCATCATCATCATCATCATCATCATCATCATCATCATCATCATCATCATCATCATCATCATCATCATCATCATCATCATCATCATCAGCATCATCATCACCGCCACCACCACCATCATCAGCATCAGCAGCAGCATCAGCATCATCATCATCAGCAGCATCATCAGCATCATGATCATCATCAGCATCATCAGCATCATCAGCATCATCATCATCACCATCAGCATCATGATCATCATCAGCATCATCATCAGCATCATCATCAGCATCATCATCAGCATTATCATTAGCATCATTAGCAAAATCATCAGAATCATCGTCGTCAGCATCATCATCAGCATCATCATCAGCATTATCATCAGCATCATCAGCATCATCAGCATCATCATCAGCATCAGCATCATCAACATCATCATCATCATCATCAGCATCATCAGCATCATCATCAGCATTATCATCAGCAGCATTAGCATCATCATCAGCATCATCGTCCTCAGCATCATCATCAGCACCAGCATCAGCATCTTCATCTTCTTTCGGAGGTCCACGCGGATTTCTGGGATCGGCGCGTGCCCAGGGCTGCGCCGGAGGCGGCGCCAAAAAAAAGAGGGACCAGCGCCCCCCCAGCGCAGAGCGCCAGCCCGCTCCCCAGAGGCCGCAGAGCCCACAGGTCCCAGACGTGCTCGAGTCCTGCGCAGCTCAGGACGGGAGGGTTTGGATCGAGGATCGAGCCATTGCTTTTTTGTCCCTTTTGGGCCTCCAGGGGGCTCCTCGTCGCCACGGCTGGATCCGCCTCAAAATTCTAGCCAGCACGCACCCTGGCACAGCTCCGGGGACGGGCTCTGGCCGCCCAGGCCCAGGCATGCTCACGTGGGGGTTCCAGACCGTTTTGGGTCTCCGGGGGCCCTCACCGGGCCCCGTGCCCGTCAAATTACGACTCGGGATGAAGGCCCGGTCCTAGGGAAGGGGTCGGGACTTCCAGGAACCCCGTACTGAAAAAATCAGGACATCGCAAGTATGGGATCCTGGTTTTGCTTCACATTCGCAACGAGCGTCTTCGCCCGGCAGGTCGGGTGCGAGCGTCTTCGTCTGGCATTTCTCGGATCCTGGGGCCCTGACAGATCTATATCTGGCTTTAGGTCGGGCATGTCCCCCTACAGGCGGATTTTGACGGAAAATAAAAAGATATTCAAAAATAGTCCAAACTAGACCAAAAATCGTCCCCAGACTATTTTTCAAACTATGTTTGATTATTCCTCCTGTAGAGGGACAGGCCAGACTTAAATGTGGCTCGAAAAAACTGACACGGGAAGATGGGCTGTGGGGCTCTGGTGGTGATGCTCTGCGATGTGGCAATGCTTTGGCAGCGTCAGATCTGAGGAAGCGCAAGGGGTAATTGCCTTTAGGTCGGGCCTGTCTCCCTGCAGGGGGATTTGAGGAAAAATTGAATACCCCAAAAATAATTCAAAAATCTTCAAAAAAATCATCAAAAATCGTCCCCAGACTATTGTTGGACTATGTTTGAATAGCCCCCCTGTAGGAGGGACAGGCCCGACTCAAAATTACCTTCTTTGGACACCCGAAGTGTGCACGGAACAAATGAGCAGAATGATCAGCAACAACTGAGGCCCAGAACCGACAGCGGCCGCTGTTGAGCAGACGGCCTCCTCTCTCGAATGCACAACGTCCGCGGCGACACCCACAGCGAATCCTGGTCAGAATGAACAGGAGCCACCGTCGGTGGTCTTCGTACCCACAAGCAGAATACGCTTGATCTCAAAGATGTTTTCATCGCCTTGCGCTCGGCTCAACGATGTACGGTCAGCGAGGCCTGTCTGCCACTGCGGCGTCTTCAGGCTGTACCGAAATGAGCTGCGGAGAGGGCCCCGGGGCCATAAAACAACGACTCAGTAACTGGCGTCGGTCTTCGGACCCATTCTTTCCGTACGTCGCGCGGGTGGCCTCGCCCTCGGTCGGGGAGTGCCAGGCAGCAGCCGCGGCCACCGGATGCGCCGCTCTCTGGGCGCGAACGCGCGCGCCAAGGCAGCGCCAGGCCACGCCGGCGGGCCGCGGCGCTCCTGGCGCTTGCTCTTCCGCTGGGCTCGCCGCGAGGGCGCCCAGGGGCCTCGCGGACAGCTCGGGGCGGCGGGGGCCAGCGGCGGAGGAGGCGTGCTCGGAGTCCAGGGCCAGCCCTGATCCACCAGCGCCCGCCGTCGGACACCGCCCCCCGCTCCCCGCCTCCTCCGTCTGCACTGCCCCTGCCCCCTCTGCATCCAGAGGTGTGATGTCGGAGAGGACGTCTTTCACTGGCGCCTGGCATGGCAAGGTCCTCCCCCGCCCTCTCCCCAGAAGAGGGGCCCCCCTCGCCCCCCTGCGTGGCAGTAAGCGCTGCAAGTGCGACGAAAGCCAACCCAGACAGGACAGGAAGAGTGATCTACACGGAGGGAGCGAGAGATTCGCCGAGTGCTCGAGGGGTGAGTGGAAGTGAGACTTGGTGATCGATACTCGAAAGGAAGCAGACGGGAGTAAGGACAGGAGCGCCAGCGCGCGGTCGAGAGAGAGAGAGAGAGAGACAACGGATGTAGCGTCTCCCGCCCCTGGCGGCGCTTCCCGCGCCAGGGGCGAGACCGGAGGCGCCGGCGGGGGGGGGTCCAGCGCAGATCCAAGAAATCCGCGCGGACCTTCGAAAGTGTAGACCGAGAATGACGTCATGATACGATTGGCTCAGAATACGTTCCAGAAATTCCAGTGTAGCTTGCGGCTCAAGTTTCTGCAGCCCGTGTGGAACATAAAGAAATGTTGTACATCGTGGGCATCATGGAAAGCATTACCATTGTGGCCTCTTGCTCCTCTGATTCGAGAAACTATGTTGCATTTTCGAGGGAACTCGTCTGTCCGACCGCGCCCGCCATCCGCGTCGAATCCACATCGAATGCATGTCGAATGTATCGAATCTGCGTCGAATCCACGCCGAATCCGCATCGAAGCCGCGTTGAAACGCACCTACCACGCGTCGGATACCTTAAAAGACCGCAGTGTACAGGACGGACGAGGTCCCCTGGAGATGCAGCGGAAGAGCAGCGGCGGCGGCAGCATCAGCGGCAGTGTCGGCGGCAGCATCAGCAGGGGCAGCCGCGACGGCAGCAGCGGCGGCTGCCGGCAGCGGACCCTGCTCGGGGGGCTGCTACAAGGTGCCCCTGGCCCACAAAATTATCACCAGCTTTCCGCTGCATGTTGGAGCCCCCAGTGGCCCTATGGGTCTGGGGTCCTCTGGGCCTCGTGAGGTACCGAGACCGCTCCTCCTGGTGTGATCTGCCTAAGATGTTGCGACCACGGCAGGATGGCGGTATGGTTAGGTCGGGCATGTCCCCCTACAGGCGGATTTGGGGCGAAAAATCAAACGTAGACAAAAAAATATCCGAAAATAACAGAAAATAGTCAAAAAATCGTCCCCTGATTATTTTTTGGCTTTTCTTCAGCATCCCTCCTGTACAGGGACGTGCCCGACTTCACCGTATGCGTGCCCGCTCCTCCCCTGCGCAGGGGCCTGCTGGCAGCCATCCCGGCGGCACCGCTGGCCGCCCGGGCCGCCGCCCCAGACCATCCGACGTCGTGCTAGTGGTTCTTCACGGCGTGGGCCCCCAGAGGCTCAGAGGCGGGCTCGTCCCCCCGGGGGCCACTCTCTGGCGGTCACACACGCGGCAAGGGCGCCCTGGGGGCCGCAAAGAGGGGCCGCAGAGAGGCTCCTCCCGCGTGGCTCGGGTTTCCTGCTGCCCCCAGACCCCATCCGACGTCGCGCTAACGTTCTTCACGGCGTGGGCCCCCAGGGGCTCAGAGGCCGGCTCTCCGCCCAGGGGGCCGCTCTCTGACGGCCGCGCGGCAAGGGCGCCTGGGGGCCGCAAAGGGGGGCAGAAGCCTCCCCTGGTTCTCTTCCCGACGTGGACCCCAGAGGTTCAGAGGCCGGCTCTTCACCCCGGGCCGCTCTCTGGCGGTCACGCACGCGGCAACCCGGGGCGCGAAGAGGGACCAAAAGAGCCTCCCCTGGCTTTCTTCCCGCGTGATCAGAAGATGCTCCAAAAAATCGTCCCCAGACTATTTTTCTGCCTATTTCTGAAGATTCCCCCTGTAGAGGGACAGGCCCGACTTGACCTTCCCTCCCTCTCCCCCCCCCCTGCACGGGCCGCAGTGGCGTGCCCGACCGCCGGCCGCGGCCAGCCCCGCGGCCTTCGGTTCGCTTCTGCCGAAAAGCTCCGGCGCGCTGTGCGGCGCTGCCTGGCCCCGCCGCTGCCCCAGGAGGCGCTCGCCCTCGCCCGCGCCGCTCAGTCCCCTGGCGAGTGCCTTGTCGCTCATTTTGCTCGAGCTCGCCATTCCCACACTCGAGCCGCCGCTCGAGTGTCCGAGAGTTTCCCTTGCCTCGCTGACTCGCGCAGGGTGCTGCAGATGGCCTGGCTCGATCCCACATCACTCGCATGAGTACCGGCACATGGTTTGGGATCTCGCCCCGGGCGTTCCTTTTCCCTTCCGGCTGTCCTCTACAGGCAAAACCCAGGTCGTGGTCCACCAGCTCCGAGCTCCGCTCCTACAAGGCCCTCCACCTCCCCGCTGCGCAAGGATTTCGGCACCCACGCTGAAGGACTACTTACATGTTCTTGGCATGGTCGTTGCCCGCGCGCCTCCCTCCGCCCGCTTGCCACCGTGCCCAATTCGGCAACGTGCACCCCACGTCTGCCTCAGAAGGCGACTAAACTTGTCGTCGCTGCGACTAAACATGTTTGCAGCTGTTCAGGGACTTCTGCCGCAAACATGTTCTTGACGCTCTTTTCCCCTCCCGCCACATGGGTGCGCCGAAGGCCGCGGGGAGGCCTCCTCGGACAAATCCCGGGGAGACCCTGGGCCAGGGAGATCCGACGCTTGCTGATCCTGCCTCTTCGGCGCACCCGCATCCGCATGACCCCCAGAGGTCTGGACCTTCTACCCGGAAACCGTTTTTTGATGGGCCTGTTTTTCACCACCACCACCATAAGTTGGAGGGGGGAAGGAGGTGGAGGATGAGGAGGAAGAAGAAGAGGATGAGGAGGAGGAGGAGGAGGAGGAGGAGGAGGACCCCCTCCACCTCCAATTTATGGTGGTGGTGGTGGAAAACAGGCCCATCATTCCTCATCCCGAGTCGTTGTTTGACGGGCTCGGGGTCCGGCGAGGGCCCCAGGAGAGGCCGACCGCGGCCCAGAAACCCCCATGGCGTCGTGATTTCTGCCACAGCGCGAGCCAAAGCCCTGGGACCTGGGCGGCCAGAGCCCGTCCCCGGAGCTGTGCTGCAGGGTGCGTGCTGGCTACAACTTTGAGGCGGACCCAGCCGTGGCGACGAGGAACCCCCTGGAGGCCCAAAAGGGACAAAAAAGCAATGGTTCGATCCTCGATCCAAAACCTTCCGTCCTGAGTTTTTCCAGGGCGGCCAAGAGGGGGGTGATGACCAGGGGGGGTGGATATCATGGCGTGGGCCATGATATTTCCTCAGACTTCATGGCGCCTCTTCTTATTTCATTACGTCCCTGGCCCACCCCCCCCCTGGGCCGCGCAGATGCCGCTGGCCATGATTTGCGCCCCCCCCCTCTTGGGCGCCCCCCTCTTGGCCGACCCCGCCGTGGTGACGAGGACCCAGACCCCGACGTCATGATTTTTTCATGACGCCGACCTCCAGAGGTATGGACCCGTTCCCCACGACCAGTTTTTCATCCCGAGTCGCTATTCGACAGTCCCGAGGCCCGGTGACGGCCCCCAGACGCCGAAAATCCGCCGGCCCCCTTGCGGGGCCATCAGGCTGCGAGGTTAGGCTTGCTGCTCCCAGCACCAGTTCCAGTTTCCAGTTTCCATTGTTGCAGTACTGCTTTCTGCTTCCTATGTCCGCGCGAGGGGGGGGAGCCGGAAACCTCCCTGGTTAGCGTCCCCCGGGAGAGTTCTCAGAATTCCTCGAGGGGTGAAAATTTACACCCCTCACGCAGATCGGCGGGGTCAGGGTCCAAAAACACAGGGGATTTGCCACATTTCTGAAACTCGGTGGCACCCCTCACGCAGATCGGCGGAGTCAGGGTCCAAAAAAAAATTGGATTTGCCACATCTCTAAAATTCGGTGGCACCCCTCACGCAGATCGGCGGGGTCAGGGTCAGAAAACACTTTGGATTTTCCGCATTTTTGAAATTCGGTGGCACCCCTCACGCAGATCGGCGGGGTCAGCGTCCAAAAACACTGGGGATTTGCTGCATTTCTAAAATTCGGTGGCACCCCTCACGCAGATCGGCGGGGTCAGGGTCCAAAAACACTAAGGAATTTCTGCAATTTTGGAATTCGGTGGCACCCCTCACGCAGATCGGCGGGGTCAGGATCCAAAAACATTTGGGATTTGTTACATTTCTGAAATTCGGTGGCACCCCTCACGCAGATCGGCGGAGTCAGGGTCCAAAAACACTGGGGATTTTCAGCATTTTTGAAATTCGGTGGCACCCCTCACGCAGATCGGCGGGGTCAGGGTCCAAAAACAGTAAGGATTTGTTACAATTCTGAAATTCGGTGGCACCCCTCACGCAGATCGGCGGGGTCAGGGTCCAAAAACACAGGGGATTTTTTTGGCATTTTTGAAATTCGGTGGCACCCCTCACGCAGATCGGCGGGGTCAGGGAACAAAAACAGAAGGGATTTGCCACATGTCGGAAATTCGGCGGCACCCCTCACGCAGATCGGCAGGGTCAGGGTCGAAAACAAATAGGTCCTGACACTGCTTCACGGCAAAGCCAAAGCCTCATGACTTCGCTCTTCCATGGCCCATTCTCCGAGAGAGGGGGCCGGCGGCAGGGGGCGAAGCCCTTACGGATAGCGAAAAGGTGATTTTTTTGTGACCCCAGGGGGTCTGGGGAGCCCCCTCGCCAAGGTTCGATCCTCGATCCCTGTGGGGGCCTGGGCCTGGCAGCACACCCCGCCCGCTGAGCGCGGGGCCCGCGCCGCCGCCCTTCCGCTTGCCCTTGCCGGCGCCCTTGCCGGCGCCCGGGCCCTCCGCCACGCCGCCGCCGCGGAGGACCTGAGGGAGGAGGAGGGGGAGGAGGAGGAGGAGGAGGAGGAGGGGGAGAAGGAGGGGGAGGAAGGAGGAAGAGAGGAGGAGGAGGAGGAGAGGAGGAGGAGGAGGAGGAGGAGGAGGGAGGAGAGGAGGAGGAGGGAGGAGGGAGGAGGGAGGAGGGAGGAGGGAGGAGGGAGGAGGGAGGAGGGAGGGAGGAGGAGGAGGAGGAGGAGGAGGAGGAGGAGGAGGAGGGAGGAGGAGGAAGGAGGGAGGAGAAGGAGGAGGAGGAGGAGGAGGAGGAGGGGGAGGAAGGAGGAAGGAGGAGGAGGAGGAGGAGGAGGGAGGAGGGAGGAGGGAGGAGGAGGAGGAGGAGGGAGGAGGAGGAGGAGGGAGGAGGAGGAGGAGGAGGAGGAGGAGGAGGAGGAGGAGAAGGAGGGGAGGAAGGAGGGGGAGGAGGAGGAGGAGGGAGGAGGGAGGAGAGGAGAGAGGAGGGAGGAGGGAGGAGGGAGGAGGAGGAGGAGGAGGAGGAGGAGGAGGAGGAGGAGGAGGAGGAGGGGGAGGGGGGGGGAGGGGGGAGCTGACGACGACGGCGACGACGAGAAAAACGACGACGACGACGACGACGACGACGACGACGACGACGACGACGACGACGACGACTACGACGACGACGACGACGACGACGAAGAAGAGAGTGGGCGGCGGCTGGGCCCTCGGCCACCACACCTCGAGCGATCCTCGGGCCGTCACACCTCGATCGATCCTCGGGCGATCCTCAATCGATCCTCGCTCGCCCGATCGACCGAAGATCGAGGGTCGAGGACCGAGTCGAAATGTGCGTCGGATCGGGCAGCATCGGCAGAAGGCCGGAATCGAATCGCATCGGCCGCGCCAGGAAGGACAACAGCGCCATGCAAGTATTGGGCCGCATTGGTTCGTGGGACTATCGGAATCGAATCGGATCTGGTCGGCCAGAGATGATGTCGAGCCGTATCGATCGGATCGAAACCGACCCTGCAGAGTACTCTCGGCCACCTCACATCAATCATCGTTCCTCGATCGACCGATAAATCGATCGATCGATCGATCGATCGAGGATCGATCGAAGATCGATAGATCAGGCGTGATTACTCGTCCTCCCCACTTCAGTTGGAAGTGTGGCCCTTTAGGGTGGCTACGACGTGGTCACGGCAGGTTCGTGTCGTTGCGACTTCGGCGCTGGTTTCTGACACCGCGTGGCTCGTCCAGACTTCCAACGATCGCGCGGCTCCGAGATTAGGTCGGGCGTGTCCCCCTACAGGCGGATTTTGGACGAATGAGAAAAATACCCGAAAATGCATCAAAAATCTTCAAAAATAATGGAAAAATAGTCCCCTGGCTATTTTTTTACTATTTTTGAATAGTTCTCCTGTAGAGGGACAGGCCCGACTTAACTCCGAAACAGCGCAGGTCCTTCGAAGTCGGCCAACTCCTGGCCACTGGCGGCGTTCAACCTTGAGCGCCCGCACTGGAGTCGCCGCCGCGCCGACACGACACGACCAACCCTGCATACTATCAGGTCGGGCATGTCCCCCTACGGGAGAATGTTGGACGAAAACAAAAGAACAAAAAAAAATCTGATAATAATAATTAACCCAAATGGTTTGAAGCTATTTTTGAATATTCCTCCTGTAGAGGGACAGGCCCGACTTAAGCATACTCCTCCTCCCCCTCCTTTCGGAAGCATGGTCATTCAGTGGCTGGGCTTTTGTGGAACAGGAGGCAAAGCAAAGAGAATGACCGCGACGATGCCGGACAGCTTGCGCGCGGCACGGGATGTTTGCCCGAGGCAAAACCGCAACATACGGGGTGTGACAAGCGGGAGCCTGATTGCAACGGCAGGAGCACGCAACGAAGATGTCACGAACTACGGCCCGCAAGTGCAAAGGAGGAGGAGGAGAGGAGAAGGAGGAGGAGGAGGAGGAGAGAGGAGGAGAAGGAGGCGGAGGAAAAGGAGGAGTAGGAGGAAAAGGAGGAGGAGGAGAAGGAGGAGGAGGAGGGGGAGCAGGAGGACGAGGAGGGGGGGACGAGGAGGAGGAGGAGGAGGAGAAGGAGAAGAAGGAGGAGGAGGGGGAGGAGAAAGGGCTGGTACGAAACGTGCCCCATTTCCTATCATCTAGTTCTGCGCAAGAGCAAGCGAAGCAACGGCGCAGCAACCCGAACGGTCGCAGCCCAAACTGGGCAGATCGACCCGAAAAATGGCACCAGAATGCCAAGGGACTGGGGGAGGAGGAGGAGGAGGAGGAGGAGGAGGAGGGAGAGAGAGAGGAGGAGGGGAAGGAGACCTTTAGTGCACCCCTAGCCCCAATCAAAGCGGGAGCGAGACCTTAATAAGTGACTATGGAAATCTGCAGAGACAGGCTACCGCGACCCTTCGCGGAGGAATATCTTGCATGCTTCCTGATACTCTGATGGGGAAAACTGAGGGTGCCAAATGCCGCTGCGAAGCCGGAAGAAGGAGCAAACGGGAAAAGCGCGCTGCAGGACCAAAGAATCGTCCTATAACACGTCCAAACCCCCGCTAGGAAGAATGCAAAATTCGCCGGCCCAACGGGCCAGGGCGTGCTAAGATCTCCGGTACCTGGTTAACAGTATTTCTAGTTCGCGCGCGCGGGGCGGCCCCTGGGGGTCCCCGGACGAAAAACACCCCGGCAAGGTCCCTGCAAGGTCCCGGCAAGGTCGGGCCAGAGATGCCGGAGTTCTGTTTCGGAGTCCAAGAGGGCTCCAGATCGGTCCAAGAGGTCCCCGAGAAGCTTTCTAGGCGGTCCAAGAGAGGCCCGAGACGGCCAAAGATCGCCCGAAGACGCCCCAGATGGCCCCAAGACAGCCCAAGAGGCCTCCAAGACGCTCCAAGGGCCTTCCAAGAGGCCTCCGAAGAGGGCCCCAAGTTGCCAAAATCGTTGATTTTCATTGGTTTTTTCGATGTTGTTTTGCGTTCTGGCCTTTTCGCTTCCGGACGCTCCAAGAGGGCCCAAGAGGCCTTCAAGACTGCTCCAAGACGGCCCACGAGGCTCCCAAGACGGCCCCGGAGCGGCCCAAGAGCGCCCCCCAGACGGCCCAAGTGCTGCCCAAGGCGGACCAAGAGGCCCCAAGACGGGCCCAAGAGGGGCTCAAGAAGGGAACCGAGAACTGAAAAATCGAGCCCTCCGCCCCAGAAGGCGCCCAGGACCCCGAAAGAGGCCCCAAGAGACTCTCCAAGACACCCCCAAGACGCCCCAATAAGCTCCCGTGAGGCCCCAAGAGGACCAACAACGTCAGGCCCCAGGCCCCAAGAGGACCAACAAATACCGCCAAGAGCCCGCCGAAAGCCCCCCAAGAGACCGTCACGAGAGCTCAGGAGGCCCCCTGGAGGCCTCCCGAGTTCTCCAAGAGGCCTAAAAAGAGGCGCCAAGAGGCCCCAAACGGCCCCACCGAGGCTCCAAGAGGCCACGAACGCGCAAGCAAACGCCTGCGATGGCACAATACGGGCCGGCGGAATGAGCGAAGCGATTAAATAAACTATCCAGGGCGCACTCCAGAGGTCCAGAGCCAGAGGTGGGCCACCGAGGTGGGAAGCAGTCAGCCGACGAATTATCGAGCATCATGCAACATGGGCCAGGCTGTATTCGCCGACGCCGCAGCCAAATGGGCAGGGGCTGCGATTTGGGAAACGACGCCGCGTAAACCACCCGTCGCAGAGGAGTGCGCAAATATGCGGCCTGGACTCGAAGGGCCGCGCTGCGCCCAAGAACCCAGAAGGTCGTCAAAGCGCGCTCCACGCGGCGGCCTGGCAAGATCAGTAGCGGCCACTTGTCGAGCCGACGGAGGAGATGGACTAGTCTCGAGCGAGAGCGCCGTTCCTGAGTTCGGGGCCTTCTTGGCCAGGGGCTCTCGGAGTAAATCGTGAGGAAGTATCGAGCAGGAGCCCTTGTCGTCGTGGCTGGGCCTCCGCCAACTTAATTGAAGGAAGTCTCGAGCGAGAGCGCCGTTCCTGAGTTCAGGGGCCTCTCTGGCCAGGGCGTCTCGGAGTAAACAACAACAACAATAACAACAACAGTCATTTTTAAACTGCTCGCCCTTATATGCTCGAATATCCACTAACGCGTACTTCCCAAACCCTCGATACCCGCCCCCTTCGTTTTCGATCGAACCCCTTTAAGGGGGTATACCTTTCTTCCCTGCAGGCTGGGCCCCGGCAAGCGGCGGGGCGGCCGCGGACCGTCGGCCTGGCCAGCGGCAGCGCTGATCGGCGGGGCGGCCGCGGACCGTCGACCCGACCCCAAGAGGGACGGACAGGGGACCGACCACGACGACGACGACGACGACGACGACGACGACGACGGCGACGACGAGCAAAGGCGAGAGCGAGAGAGAACGACAGCAGGGCCACGAAGGACACGAAGTAGGCCACGAAGGGCGACAGCGGGGACATGAAGGGAATGCGTATGGGGCCACGAAGGGCGCGAACGAGCGGGGGCCACGAAGGGCAGATAATGCGGGGCCACAGAAGGCAACGATGGGGCCACTGAGGGTAGCAACTGGGCCACGTAGGACAGTGAGGGGGCCACAAACGGCGACAGCGGGGCCACGAAGGGCATGCACATGGGGCCACAACGGCCGCGACTCCTGGGTGCCTGGGTGTCGGGAGCGCGGCGCTTGAGCAAATTGTAAGAAATTCCCACGCAACGGCGCAATTCTTCAATAAATTGCAAGCAAATCTCCAGCGAGAGCGCGACCCCAGAGCGCCGGGAGAGCGATTCCTGAATAAATTGAAAGAAGTCCCAAGCGAGAGCGCGATTCCTGAATAAATGTAAAGGAATCTCGGGCGAGAGCGGCGGTCCTGGCTAAATTGTAAGGAAGTCTCAAGCGGGAGCAGTTGTTGTTGTAATCCGGGGGGCCAGGGGCCCAGTTTGAGCATCAAGCTTTTCCCTGTCAAAAAACAAGGTGCGAGCGTCGAGGGGCACACTGTGATTGAGAAAAAACAGTATGCACCGGTGGGGGGATCT